CCTCCGTTTCTCCGCTAGCGGCCTCACGCTCGATATTGTTAGATATAGATCCAGAAGTAAGGTCCTCATTCTGGCTCTTCTCCTGGGTTCGCTCAGCGCGATTCGAATTCCTAGTCTCAGGCATGGCGTATAGCTTGACAGCTGATCTAGGTTTCTCTCGCCGTTCAGTAAATCTTGTTGTCAATATATTGAAGTAAATATTTGAAAGTATGAAGTTACAGGAGTTAACTATCTCTCTCCCTTTTTTGCAACCGGGTTAATGTAACCGCTGGATATGATGATTCAGTTCCTCACCAACAAAGCTAAGTCAGGAGATTAGATTTCTAATCCATAACCCCTGCTCTTTCATCTAATCCGTCGAGTTGCATATTTTCTCTCATGACGTGGGAACATAACATGCCTAATCAAATTTGCTATTGAATGGCATCATATCAACCAAATGTTGCAACAGCGGTCTCGGGGATCTTTGCCAGACTCTCTCAAGGGGATCTGCAAGCATGAATAATGAGACAGCGGAATAGAGAAGTCATAATGCAACAAAATGAAACCTCTACCAGGGTCAGATCCAATAGATCCTGTGTGTGTCGTTCCAGGGACCCCTGAGCCGATCAATATCCAGTATACGAATAGCCTAATTTTAGGGCTCGGGAGGGCCCGGAGGGTCCCTCCACGGAGAGAGGTCTCCGTATATGCAGGGCCAGGGATACGTGACCGGAAGCATTCCGCATTGCTAGGTTGGTAATTGCTGCACTTTATCCTTGCATGCCGCGCCTCGATTATTGCAAATACTACCATAGGCTCCTGTAGTAAGTTACTTCGAGGTACCTGCTTCGAAATCGCCCCCTGGGTGGGTTACAGAGACGCACGGCATCTTTGTATGCTGAACCCACAGTAAGCACGGGAAGACTCGACCGCTTGGCATCTACGTGATACTCCTGGTCCCCGGAATTGGATCGTCACACTTGTAGCCTCAATTTCACCCACCTCGCGGCTCGCCCTAGGAAACTAGCGCCCGTCTTGCCGACAAGGCCATTTGGAATGAAATGGTTATAGTGTGGGCAATGGACAGTGTCCACAAGGTAGGCGGGTAACATCTGGATTCTTTGAGACTCGTCATGTGAAAGGCAAAGGGCGCTAAATCTCCAATATCGCACGCTACAAGCCGGTTTCATTAGCCCTACGTTAAAGAGTCCTCATTATAGTTCAACTTATCTGCTTCAACTTAGCTGCTTCAAACGTATCGCAATGGCATCTCGGCCTCTTCAAATTGCAATCATAGGCGCTGGCCCTTCAGGCTGTACACTCGCTCGCCTTCTTCAGGTCTCTGAGCAAGCCAGCGCCGTTAAGGTGACCATCTTTGAAAGAGAAGCCCAACTTCATGACCGAGATCAAGGCGGAACGCTGGATCTTCACGACTCGACGGGTCTAGAGGCCTTGAGACGCGCTGAACTCCTCCACACCGATGAGTTCCGGGCTATCGCTCGCCATGACGGCGACGCTATCGTCCTCTGTGATAAAAACATGCGCAGGTGGATCGATATCGCCAGCAGCTCAGACGGAGGATGGCTTGCTCAAGGCAAACCTGAAGTTGACCGGTTGCAGTTGCGGCAGCTGCTTCTGAATAGCTTGGTTGGAAACGTCGTGGTCTGGAATAAGAGAGTCAGCAAGGTTGAACTTGCTACAGACACAAGTTCCACCTTGTATTTCGAGGACGGGTCGTCCAGGTCCGGCTTCGACTTGGTCATTGGCGCAGATGGCGCTTACAGCATTGTTCGCCCCCTGATCACTCCCCAAAAGCCATTTTACAGCGGAGTTGGGGGCTGGAACATGCTCTGCCCCAAGGCCAGTATTTTACGCCCACTCATGAACAAGATGATCAATCGGGGTAGCCTGTTTGCATTCTCAGATGGCAAGGTCGTCATGGGTCAGCAACTGGGTTCAGGCTCGATTTACATCAGTATGTGGGGTCTCAAGCCCGAAAACTGGACGTCAAGTTCGGGCTACGACGTCAAAGACCCAAAACATGTCAAGAAGGCCCTCCTGGAAGAATTCAAGGACTGGGCCCCTGAGCTACGAGAGTTGCTCGCGTCTTTTGATGAAACACAAGTGTGGCCCCGTAGCCTTGTTATGTTACCAACAGGCCTCACGTGGGACTCCAAGCCAGGACTTACGATAATGGGCGATGCTGCTCACGTCATGTGTCCTTTCGTTGGTGAAGGAGTGAATGCCGCCATGGCTGATGCGATGGAACTCGCTGATGCCATCAAGGATACGGTTAAAAGCGGCTGGAGCAGGGAGTTGCTTGCGCAAAATGTTGAAAAGTACGAAAATGGAATGCGCAAGCGGACTCTCCGTGCTTCTTCCATGACGGAAGACATCATGAAGTTGATGCTTTTCACCCCAGGCGCCCCTACCACCACAATCGAACGGTATTTTGTGAGAGCAACAAGTGATGATCTCCCTTTCTTAATCCGACCAATTTGGAAGTTTTTGGTCAACTTCTACTACTTTACATTCAAAGCTTTTATCAAGTAACTAGCAAGCATATACATGTATTATTCATTGTGTTGAGATGCCGGGTCTAGACTCTTCCGCTGCTGTTTTTGCTTCGTACTCAAACTATCTCAACCGTATTACATACAGGTATTCAACGATGTCGGAACTGCTATTACGTGAGTATAATACATCTAAAAGCAAATGCTCCGGCTACAGAATAAAAGTTGTGTACTATTTGCCATGCCCATTCCCACAGATCAATCCCTCTACGTACGTTCACCTATTAGCAGCCTTCTCGGGATGAATCTACCCAATCCAACCTGATCATAGTCTCAAGTAAATTATCAATGCCATTGAGGTTGCAGTGGAGGGGATGTCGATGATGGGCTGTAAAATTGCACAATAATGGCCACGTGAGTCATCTAGATCTATTCATCACTACACAGAAATCGAGTATCAAACCCTTTCCGTAATTCGGAGACTCCCGTTAATGGCTCACTGGTATGGGTAATGTCGTATTCCATTCAACCGAATTCTCTCTCTCTCCAGGCGATGTTCATCACGATCTCTTTTCTTTTCTCTGTTTCCATCCAAGTGGATTATCATCTGATATGGCATTACTTATTCCCACTTAGGCTCAATAGATTAACCCACTTCAGCCCCAATTTTCAGGGCGGCATGTTGAACCGAATCTTACGCTTGATGACCCTTGGCCACCGGGTGTAGGTTGCATTGTGAGGCGAATCACTATTGCGTGCTAGGGATCCCAGACGCCTCATTCACACACCCTAGATAACTGCATCTCCCCCGAGTATTCAATCTTCGGGTAGATGAATTTTGTCCCATAATGTTGACATCTGCATAACATGGCTACGACTTTACTGCTATACCATAAATAGTCCCGCGATTCAGATTATGCTATTCTTGCCGGCCCTCACAAACTAATCAAAAGCCTTAGGGACCATCACAGGGCTTTCTTTCATAAATCTTTCTAGCGATCTCGTCCAGCCAAAGGCTATAGATGATCGTGATGACCATCAAGACCACTCTTCAAGCCATTTACAACCCATTGGGCTTCACAAAAGCATATGCCTTTACACTGTGTACGTTTTGACAACCCTAGTTTATATGTGAAGACTTCGACACTAATGTTAGCTATTGAGAGAAGGGTTTATCGTCAGTGGTGCACTCGTTGGGTTTATCCTAGCGCGCCTACAGTTTCTTGACATTGATGGCCGTCTATGTCCAGCTGTGCCGGCCAACGATGGTTCCTCAGGCTTTCCAGCAGCATGCTACTGGATTGTTCATTTCAGGCGGTACCGTGTGGCCATGATTCTTCACCTGTCCACCTCGCTGCCGGCAGGTCTCATTGCTGTTTTTCAGTTCTTGCCTGCAATAAGACACAGGTGCATCTTGTACCACCGCATCGCAGGCTACATTGCCATCACACTAGGTTTCATTGGCAACATTGGCGCCTGCATGCTTGCCGACACGGCCATGGGCGGGGAGTTCTCCATGCAGACTCTGGTCGGATTTGTGGCATTTGTCACAACCCTCACCCTTGGCATGGCGGTGTACAACATCAAAAAGCTCCAGCTTGATGGCCACCGCGCATGGATGATCCGGTCTTGGGTCTACATGGGATTTGTTGTGACGCTCCGAATCATCCAGCCAACCATGGCCAATATCATCACAAAATGGCCATCGGCGGCAAAGTATGTAGCTGTGTCGTGCAAGGAACTACATTACATATACTTTGCGGGCCAAACGCTAGGACAGGGCACATATACGCAGGACAGCCTGGACAAGTTCAAGGCCAATTATCCCCCTTGCGCGGAACATCCCCAAGCTGAGAAAATATATGTTGCCGTACAGGGCGTCCTGCAACCCGACGACCCAGGAAAAGTCAATGTGGCTCTCATGTCGACGTTTGCTGCTTCCGGTGTTCTCGCATTTCTACTCCACGCGGTTTGTGCCGAGATATATCTTTGGCTTACACCGGCAGAGAACGCGCGACTACGTGAAGTAAGTTATCAAAGGCAGCTTAGAAGGGGATTCCCCAACCCAGGCAGTGAAGGGCTTGTGGCCCAAAGATTTGGTGATGCGCGGGAATGGGTACCGGATACATCATCAGAATCTCCTGAAACCCAGTCCAATGAAGGCAAAGCGCAGTCATAGAAAGGAAATGGAACAAGGAATCGTTATTTTGGCATTTCTTTCTTTTTTCTTTTTTTTTCTCGGATGAATCTATAGGAGCAGGCTATCGTGTGACCAGAAAAAAGACAGAAGTAGATGCTAGTATACTGGGTTGGAGAAAGGAGGGATGGAATAGATCTTGTAAAGAGTCTCAATGTGCTCTTTCGGCAGCACCAGGGAATGAAGCAGCTAGTGTAAGGCTCACTAAAGCTCCGAACAATTCACAGGATCAAAGGAGATATCGTCTAAGCTTCTGTGTAGCATTGTAAACTGAAATGCCTCCCCAGAAAAGTCCGTTACGATTCTTCTTATTTATCTTCTTGAAGTCTCCATAGTTCACCATCCCTTTTACACATCCCCTCCCAGTGACGGCGCAAAACTGGCCAGATGAACCAGTTCACTACGACACCCACGATGGAATCCATGATTCCAAGACCTCTCTTTGGGGAAGCTCCTACCATATTAGTAAAAAGCAACGAGGCAGCTAACGAATCCCGGCAGATAATATACTCCTCATTCTTTACAGCCTCAAGCACCAGTGAAGCTACTTTTTCCGACGAGGGATACTGTTTTTCCAAGTCCTCGATGGATCCTTTCAGCCCCTGCATAGATTTAGTAAGAGCAGTCTTGGTGTTCTGCTCCTGATAAAACCCAGGCGATATGAAGTCGCCTGGGAAAGAGATATGGACGCTGTACCTGGACGCTGGCGATGAATAGCGCAACATCTCCAGCCGGAGGGTATCTGCCAATGCTCGAACAGCCGCCTTAGCGGCTACATGAATAAATAACATCAGCGACATCGACCAAGATCTAGTGTATGACGGGCTAAGACCTGAACTTACGTGTGTAGGCAATTGAACCTGGCAACCCAAGAAACGCGGCCGCGCTGCTTATGATGACAATTCGGCGAACATTAGTTCGAGGACTCGCCTTCCACTTATTTTTCTTGTCATCCTCAATCCAGATGTCGAGAGCGGACTTCGCTGGATACGCAGTGGCGTAATAGTTGTTCTTCATGCAAGCGTTCACCTGCTCCGCCGTGATATCCACGAAGAATCCGTTCTGGGCGTGATTTCCACCGGCCACGCAGTAGAGCATATCAGGAACCCGGTCATGTTCTCTGAAGGCAGCATCGACCTTGACAGGAGCTCACGGTCATCCGGCCATTCCGCAATTTTCACGACTGGTGAATGGCACACTAGGACTGCTTACCTGGCTGGGATTGGAGAGATCCAGAACGATGAATCTGATTTCCTGCGCGTCACTTAGGCGCGACCGCTCTATTTCCTTGACAGCTTCCTCTAATGGACCCTTTCTACGCCCAAAAATTGTCACATGAGCACCTGTGATCGCTTAGCTGAGCAACTTTGATTCCAAAGAGACAAGTTGACACCTACCTTGTGCGGCCAGGAGCTTTGCGAATGCCTTTCCAAGTCCACCGGCACCTCCAGCCACAAATGCCGTCTATCATTAGCATTAGCAAGTTCCACAGGGTAAGATTCAACATTCCGACTAGCTTTGGTGTACCTTATGAGGTGATGGAGTGGTCTCCATGATGTTGGCTCGTCCTGGGAGTTGAATTGTCATCGAAATGTCGTAGTAGATAGGAGCTTTTAATTGATAATGCGCACGGCATCAGTTCGATTGACTCCGGGACATCTGCTTGGTCACTTCCGGGCCGATCGAGACCGAGAGGAGCTGAGATGGATCTCACGGGTTCCGATCCTGTTTCGGCCGGGTTCCGGCGGCCGAGTGGTCCATGTCAGCTGTGTTTTTGTAATTCAGCCCATGTATCAATGAAACAGCGTTGGCTAAGTTTAGACAGATAAATTTATAAATCCGGGGGAAGCAGAGAACGACAAGAGAATACCAAACTCGTATCATTGTTCTTTAGTGTTGCCTACTCGTTATTCTTACCATGTCTGTTCAGACCTTCTTGACTTCCTGGATTCAGGCTCAGAAACTAAGGGCTCCCCAGATGAAAAATGCCTCCACTTTTGAACGGAACCTTGAAGAGGCTCTGGATCTCCGCAGAGCGAACCACGGTCTCTTTGCCCCTAACGTCATCAATGGTTGGAAAACCGGCCAAGGAGTCGACTTCTGCTCTAACGACATTCTCCACCTCGGCATCACTGGGCAAATTCGGGAGGAGTTTGAAGCAGAACTAGCAAGGAACCCGGGCTACAGCCTCCATGCGGGAGGTGCTCGATTGCTTGACGGCAACTATGAATACATTCAACAAGTCGAGCAAGAAATCGCTGATTTTCATGGAGCGGAGACTGCCCTGATTGTTAGTGGTGGCTACGATGCCAACGGAACCATATTCGGAGCTCTTCCTCGACCGGGAGATGCCATTATCTACGACGAACTCGTCCATGCCAGCACACATGATGGCATGGTGCACAGCGTGGCTCCCTGCAAGCAGTCGTTCCGTCACAATGACTGTGATTCGTTTCGAGAGGTTCTCACATCTATCATTGACTCGCAACAAATGATTCGAGATGGTTCAAGGTGTGTTCTCGTAGCCGTGGAGTCAGTTTACAGCATGGATGGCGACGTGTGCCCCCTTCGAGAACTTGTCGACATTGGTAAAGAGTTATGTCCCAAGGGAAACATTGAGTTCATCGTTGATGAGGCCCATGGCACTGGGATTATCGGTCCCAAAGGCGCTGGACTTGTCAGGGCCCTCGGGATGGAGAAGGAGATCTCTGTCCGACTCCATACTTGTGGTAAAGCCCTGGCCTCCATTGGCGGTATGTCGAATTCCAAGTGCGTTGGCCTGAGTGATTCTTAAGACTGATAATGTAACAAACAGCGGTCATCCTTGGAAGTGCCACCGTGCGTTCTGTCCTCCTCAACTATGCCAGACCTATTGTCTTCACCACAGCGCCCAGTTTCCCCATGGTAGCTGCCATGAAAGCTGGATACAACCTTTTGCGTTCGGGCGCAACTGAAGCGGTAAGTTAGGGACACCTCGTGGAGAACTTGAAATTGTTAACTAAAGAGCCTATATAGGCCCAAGCCAATATCCAGCATCTCGTGAAGCGCTTTATCGGGACGATGAAGGCAGACGAAACCTTCCAGAAGGCGTCTGAGATGGGCATTTTGTGGATCCCACTTACCGAGGACATAGAGGACCGCGATTTCCTTGTCCATATCATTCCTATCCACCTGCGTCAACGGTATTGTTACTGGCTCACCTTTCATCTGCAGTTGGCTGGGTACTGTATTTTCCCCATCGACTATCCTATCGTCCCCAAGGGAAAGAGCCGACTTCGGCTCATCGTCCATGGGACCAACACGGAAGCGCAGATTGACGGCATCGCCAAAGCCATTTGCGATTTTTCACGTGAAATGATTGAGATCGAGACCTCGGCAGATAACAGCTCCAAGGTGCCCAAATCTGCTCAACAAATCTACGCCCAGATGGCAGAGGCTAGCGCTTAATGTCGGGGATTTTTCAAGCAGCACATGGGATTGTCAAAGCGGTCCGAAGTCTCCCATGTCTCAAATAGCTTCCGTATTGTTTCCCATCAAGTATCTACTATCAGATGGAATGGTCTCTATAGACAAAGCTATCAAAATAAAAAACCTTTACTGGCTCACTGAGATAGGCGGGCCGCTACTTGGGTTTATTGTGATACACAAATTAGAAATGCCTAACAGAAGAGAGTTCGAGTATAAAGTTAACAACAACCGTAGAAGATGCCAGACCCGACATCTCGACATCTCGACATCTCGACACAATGAATACGAAATTAGAAATGCATCTATAATCGGAAAGCTATTCGATCTTTTTTGATCCGCCTTGAGACATAATTTTGGTTGCCATGCCATCTGCCGAGGCAATAATCTATTCTATGAAAGCCGACATCCACAAATCAGTTCCCTCGACATTATCACATATACCCGATTCCATTGCGAGATACGATCCAATCTGTTCTTCATCTTCAACTCCCTCCAAGGATAGAGAGTCTTTGAATCCTTGCCAATGATGCGAGGAGTGGTTTTTAAAGACGCTTGAGCTTGGTGTTCTACTGGCACTGCTTGATGAACTCGAGTCTCTCAGGAAATCTGGGAGAGTACTGAAAATGGCGTCTTGTGAATTTTCTAGTCTCGCTGGTTAGGAATTGGTCATTCTAATAGCAAGATTTCGGAGAAAACGCATCGAATAAAATAATGGGGAGGAGATGAGGGGATTCTCACCTGCGATTCTTGATGGCATTGCTTCTGCTGGGGAATGAATTGTTACAGCTAAGTCGAGTAACACATCTAAAAATGTCCCAAGCTGTGCAGAATAAGATTCTTCATGACTGAGAGCTGTGGTTGCCTTAAAAAAGGAATGTAACGAGCGTAATAGTTCCAGGTCAAGGTTCTCTCTCCCATGCCCATTAACCTCTGTCTCGTGCAAGTCCAACAATAGTTGGACGACGGTCGTGGGAATGTAGGATATGAGTTGACTAAACCAAGCTGTAGGTTAGTCATATTGTGTTGGTGAAGAGCTCCTAAATAGCCCACTTACAAGGACAGACTTGAGTAATGCCCCAAGTGTGAGCCACTCTTTAATGCATTAACAATGACTCTGATGAGGTCATGTGACGCCTTTATAGATTGAACGGATGCTTTCCGAATTCTCCGATCTGCGTGGAGCAACATTGCTCGAAGAAAGTGATACTTGATGGTAAGGTCTGGCTGGTTTGAATTAGCCAGCTCCTGACTTACTGGCTCTCCATGATAGGCAATATGCCAACGATCGAGCTCTTCAAGTAGCTCCGTAGCACAAGTGCAAACTATTCCTGGTCGTTTGATAGCTTGATCTAAGGCAAACAGCCTTTTGAACGTTCGTTCTTCAATTCGTCCAAGGCTGATGTGCGCATCCCAATGAAAAACTCCGTTTTCCGGTATAGATGGCGCTGTTGATGCAAGACTGCAGAAATCGGGGACCATATTTCCAGCATGAATTCCTGTAGCCCAGTTTATTGAGGTTGCAATAGTGCATAGACATCCAAATACATTCTGTCTCTCCTGTAGTTCAACCCCGCGCAATGCATCCTGGTCTTCTACAGGAGGGTCTCGGCCACTTAATCCAATTAACTGTGAGAGGTAGAGAGTTTGGTGGAATATCTGAGACAAAATCCTTTCGGAGAGGCAATACGGTGCTATCAAGCACTAGTTATTCTTGGTTAGAGACAGACTTCGAGGGAGCTCACAAATGCAGAGGGTTGAACAAACCAGAGACAACAACGCTTGGATGTTGGCGAGGTTAGGAGTGAGAAGCATGTTAATGTTATTCGCAGCCCGCCTGGCATTAGTGATGAAAGGCCCTGCAAGCTCACTCTCCATTGAGTGGAATGCTTGTTGTGCTGGGAAATCGCGAGGCTCTTTGGACGCTGCCTGAGTAAATTTCGCGGTTAAAGCTAGCAAGATGACGTTGTTGGCTGACACAGCACATGAGGTTTGATCACCTTGATACGACGAAATCTGTTTCTCAAGCCTCTGTCGTGTCCAGAGAGGAAAATTTGGGTTGATGTGCTTAAAGTATGGTTCAATCATGGCTTCCAATATGGTCAGAGGAGGCATTGCAGGCGGTAATTTATCGCCCTGGTCTAGTCGCGATGAGTTAGTAGGTCTGGCTAATAGAGCTTCCAGGCGAGCATTGAATAAGTCCCCTTGGTGCTTCTGGATGGTGTGCGTTTGGATCGTTGGGCTAAGGATTAGCTCCTGGGCGTCGCGGATGAGGCAATAGGTTGAGGTCGGACCATGGTAAATCTCGCAATCCCCCGTAATACATAAGGCGTGACGACCGACGCCATGCCATGGGGTCTCTCCTAGGATGCTTTCTTCGGCTATGAAACTAGAACAGTTGTCGCTGGCAGCTGGGCAAGTAGAGTATGAATAAGCGGCCTCTGAGTTTCTGCTGGTGCCACTACTGCTCAAGCTGGTGGAGCTGTTGGATTGATGAAGTCGTTGGAGTATTGTATGAATTTTAGAAACATCTTGTTCCATTCGTTCCAATTGCCTACCAATCTGAGCTACAGCATGTTTGCTGTGGCCAGCAACAGTGTATATAATTAGCATTACCGCCAAGGAGTCTGGAAATTGTGTCTGGAGACGAACAATGCTGTTGACTGGCTCGGCTTTCTTCCGTGACCGTTCCAGGTACATACTTGACCCGCTCTATTACAATTGGCACAGGCGGGCCGCTCTCTCCCACAACGTATTTTTCTCCCTCGACATGGGTCACACACTGCAAAGTCGATAGTTTAGTCCTTCGCTTGAGCCTTTAGAACCAGATGACATAACTCACCGTTATATGTATTTGACTTATACGTTAATTCTGCCTAAAATGGGCCCAATATTGATCAGTAAGTATTTCCACGATGGAGTGGCGATGAGAGCGTATGTACCTCGTCTTCATCACAGCGGTCTCGGTTTTCGCGCTCCATCGGATTAATTGCTCTGCCCATGTTTCCGGACGACCTTAAAGAAGTGATATACTAGAGGGAACCTTTTGAAGGACAGAAATCCTACTGCACATATCACACCAGCAGGAT